AAGTAGCATGAAACTTCTGATAAAAAAAGTGTTTTCATATTAACCTGTGGCAACTCGGCGATAAAATATGCCCAAACACATCTACTTCATGTATTATTAAGCAACATGAACTCCCATTTAACAACAAAGTGATCTCATCCATTCGGCGCCTCACGTTTACTGTACACATTACCATACACGTGTATCCAATTATTTTCACATCTAAACCAGCCATACGCAATGAGTCCCCGTGTTTGTTCAATGGAAGGCTCAGACCCGGTGAACACAGCATGGTTTAAGAATGAAGGTCGTCGTCTCCTAGGTATCTTATCTCGTCCAATCATAAAGTATTATCATTTCCATCCCAGTAAATCACACAGGGATGATTTACAGATTTCTTTTCTATAATCTCTAAGATAAGGTCTACTAATTTATTCTGTGCTTCAGTCTTTACTTCGTGTCAAAAAGACAGTAACATACATTATCATTTTTAAGCAGATGAACCTCATATATTACGCGAATGGTCTCTTGGCCGCCAACTTCAGATTACAAAAGTCTACAACTTATTCTTGATTTACTTATCACCTATAGCATAGCATGAAGACGAAAAAAAGAATAAAGTGAGATTTTCGTATATTTCCTCCTCCACATTTATGAATGGTTAAGAAGCCCCAACATCGTTTACAAGTGCCGGAGCTGAGAAAAAAACTCGACTGTGAGAAGAGGCAACGGGATAAGAGGAACCACTTGTAAGCAAAGGCAGTATATAGAAAAGGAAATATACGTCTTTCTGATTACGAATAAAAATGAATTATGGATTAGGTTCTTTTTAATTATGCGATACACACCCATTCTTAAGTAACGAAAGAAGTAATTGACAAAACGAAATATTTTGAAAGAATTATAGTATTCACAAGGTAATAAAGATAATGAAATACTATAAAACAGTCTTCAAGAGGTAAATATGAAATGATTAAAAATATATTTAGTCTTCAAGTGATGGAAACAATACAGAACACTCGTACGTGACAAACGTTTTTTATTACAACCATGAATGTGTCTTTTATGCATTCACCAGTAAAAACAAATAACCCTCGCCTCTAATGGGAAAAAAGGAAGACCTAATGGACACGGACTATTTATGGCGAGTCGTCGGCAGCATTTCCCTCTTTCCCGCACACTGCCGGCCTCTCTCTCTCTCTTTCTCTCGCTTTTTTCCCTTTCTTTCTCTCTCTTATTTTATCATATGAACGTATATATCAATAGCTATCTCATCTTACATACATTATATATTTTTACTATGTAATATTCTCCCCTCGTGATATTATGCCGTGCTGTGAATTCATCGAACATCCAAAAATCCACATTTCTTTGTATGAATTGCCATTATCTATATCATTTTATCGATTTTCATATACGTAATACCCACGTGAATTTATTATTTTGAAATCACCCATCCCTGATAAACACAAACACTTGGCGTATGTACAGAATTGAAAGTAAACGCATCCACAACGATTTGACGATTTCATTTGAAGGATTGGAAAGTTCAGTTTTGTCCCACTCAGCTGGCCCCATAGGCAGGAAGCCCAAGGCGTCCTCAAAGGGGATCAAGCTTCGAACAGTAAGAATGGTCTTTGCAAGCAACGGCTGGGCAACCAGGGAGGGAGCCGAAAACAAAATTGAAAATCCCGCGTGTTTTCAAGAACCCTCCCGCAGCAGCCGCCGACCGACTGCCTTGTCGTTCCATGTATCTGCCCAACTATAAGAGAAAGAGAGGAGGAGGGTGGGGGAGAGAAGAGGGGGCCAGGTGAGTGAGACGAACATTTTCAATCCTTCAAATTAAAGATTTTCGTCTCACTCAGCTGGCCCAATAGGTAAAACGAGGACTGAAACCGAATAGATGGGAAAAAAGTATAACAAAATCAACGTTTATAATACCTTTATTAACTTGTCGGACAGAAATCTTACTGAAAATATAATTGCATAATAATATAAGGGTAACTTTCATAAAAAAAATGCTTCTTAGGCAATGAAAACCCGCTTGACATGTGTAAAAAGACGAAAATAAAGAAAACGTTAAGTCAGAAACAACATCTATAGAGGGAGAAACGGGCATGGCCACACATCGGATGTCACTAGTATTAGAAGATATCTGTCAATAAATGATTGGTGCGAAGTCCACTGACCGGCCTTCTGAACCTTACGTTAAAAGTACGCAAGAACGCTAGTATAGCATACTTTCGCACCTGATGTGCCAGAGGAGAGTTCCCAGGATCTGCTAGATCAATAACCCGACGATGTATGGGCGCAACATGGGCTTCAAAACAGACCTTATGTGAATCTGGCCAATTCCACAGGTGTTTGTCATCATGTACCCCAAGGGGATGAAGATATTGAAAGAGGTGAAAGAAGGGCCACATGGCAGAGCTGCTGTGAAGATCTAAGCCCTGGAGCCAAAGCAATGAGGAATGGCGCTTTATGAAAAAGATCCAAAGGTGATCCAGAACCTTCTCCAATGGCCATGAGGCAGACCTGAACGTCTCGGTGGGCACTGTAGGAAGACAGAGCGTTTCAATAAATCCAATGAATGGCCATCACCTTTTACACCATATGCTTAAAACAGGATCTGCAACTGCTGCCATGTAGCACGAAATAGAGGCAAGCGATAAACCTTTGAGGACACCACCGGAGCAGGTCTGCTGTCCATGGTTGTGCTACCAGTACCATAGTGGAGCTACCAGTAGTACCTTCCCTTGATAAATCTTTAGGCAAAGGAGTATTGCAGCATCAGTGATGTAAGAGGAGGAGGAAAGAGGTATCTGTAAGTCCATTTTTCTCCAGTCTTCCTTGAGGGCGTCTGGCCCCCTTGCACTTGTCCTCATAATTCTTATCAGGAACTATAGGAGGCAGTTTGTTGGACTGGCAAACATGGGGAGTTATGTAGAGTTTGATTAACTGACTGTACTTTTGTTTGGATAGAGCCCACTTCACCATAGAAGGATCTTGCTGCAAAAGGGCATCCATCCATAAACTGGTTCTACCTTCTAGGTGAGAAACTTGAAGGGAGATATCTCGCTTGGCTGCCGAGAATAAAAAAAAAAAAAAAAAAAAAAAATCTGAGAGGTGAAGTCTCCATAAACGAGAGCTGCCCTGTTTGTTCAGTACTACTTCAGTGCTGTCTGTTAGTACCAGGATGGCCCTGTTCCTCGATCCAGGTTCCATTCTTAAGATAACGAGATTGATGTGGCGTCTGGAGAAGTGTCTTGACCACACTCCACTTCCTTGGTGTCCTCTGGATGACTGGATCTCCCATCCTGAGTCTGATGCATCTGTTTTGATTGTTAGTGATGGGTTTGGAAGACGCCTCCTTGCCTGGAATCTTAATCGCCCTCTTCATATCCACATTTACGTCTTGGTCAAAGGCTCATGAGAGAGGGGATTACTTTGTCTTTTGTTTCCTTTGAAAAAAACAAGGTTTCCATCTAAGACTAGTCTATCATTCTGTAGTCTGCCCAAGGGAATAACTGCAGCATAATTGAGGGAGCCTAAGAGGCTTTCCCTCTGTCGGCATGTTTTTTCAGGAGCTCGGAATATTTTCCTCCAGCACCTCAGTCTGTTCGTTTCTGACAGGGATAAAGACTCCGACTCTGTATTCCGCCTCATGCCTAGCCACTGAAGCATCCGAGAGAGAACAAGGTAGGATTTTTCTCTTTAGAACGCTATCCCCATACTTTCGCTCTTGGATATCGTGTTTTGGATCATCTATAAGCACTCCGACCATGACATGCTCAAGAGGAGCCAGTCGTCCAGGTACATGAGGACATCCACACCCATACGAGTCAGTTTCCTTGTGCAAAGGAATCATTATCTTTGTAAATACTCTTGGTGCTATATTTAGGCCAAAGGGTAGAACCTTGAACCTGTGCAGGAATTCTGCAACTGCAAAAGCCAGATACTTTCTGAATAGAGATGTTTATTGGCACATGCCAATATGCATCTTATAGCTCTAGGAAAGCTAGAAAAATGCCTTTTTGTAGAACAAGATGAACTTAAAAGGAAGAAAACGTCCCCTTTGAGAAACAGTGGGTCTACGGCCTCTAAATAAAAAATGGTTATAGGTATCACTCCTCAGATTGGGGTAAACTTAGGCCCGTACTTTTAAAACCTTCGGCAGTGCTGGCGTTCGCCTGGCGAAGCTACGCCAGGCGAACCTCTGAGTGAGGGAGGCCTTACTTTTAAATCCAACGTTCGCCAGGGCGGGCTAAGGGATCGCCAGGCGCTAACATCTTGCATTCTCGCTAAATCTAGCGCAAATTTGTTTACATCTGCAGTGCACATAACATAACCTAAACTTAATTATTAACCTCGAGAGAAGACGAAAATGTTGTTTCCGCAATAGTCTCACTTTATACTATAACAAAGGAGTTAAATTTTAACTTTATGCTATAACAAAGTTGAAAATATCTTTATACTATAACAAAATTAACTTTATACTTTATGCTATACTACACTTTATTCTATAACAAGGTTAACTTTATGGCCCGTTCTTTTAAAACCTTTTGCTTTTTCTCGCGTTTTTTTTCATTCGCCGAAGCGCTAGATTTAGCAGGAATCCAAGATGTTAGCGCCTGGCGATCGCTTTCGTTCGCCAGGCCTGGCGAACACCTGCCTTGGTTTTAAAAGTAAGGCCTTCCTCACTCAGATGTTCGCCTGGCGAAGCTTCGCCAGGCGAACGCCAGCATTGGCGAAAGGTTTTAAAAGTACTTTATACTATACTATATCAACCTTATACTTTTATACAAAAAATAACTTTATACTTTAACAAAAGAGTTTAAAGATTACTATTTTACTATTGCTAACTGATATAAGATATTGAACTGTAGGCCTACAAGGGCCTACATTAGACACGCCTCCTTATAGGGCGGTGGAGCACTACAGCTATGTTTCTATAGCCAAAAGTTAACATGCCAACATCAAAACACTTCTGGTAACATTTGTGAAAAGAACATTATCCTTAC